TCCTTGTCTTCTGACGGTGCATGGATATTAATTATACTCCAATTCGTTCTCTTACTTTTAATTCGTATTGAACACGTCTATCAGAGATAGGATTAAAAGCTATCACTTTGTCCTTGATACATTCAGCTACTAAAAAACCAGTTCCAAGCATTCTATCTTTACCTCCACTTTTGAAAAGCACCATATCTTCTATATCAGTTATTTCCGATCCTAATTGTTTTGTCTCTTGAAGAGCCATTAAATCGATTTTATACTTCCTTGCCTCATTCAATAGTTCTTTTAGCGCACCTTCATAAAAGGTTCCTCTGACATTCCATGTAGCTAAATGTATTTTGTCATTCTTCTTCTTTACTTTTGTATTACTATCTTGTTTTGTTTCGTTTTCATAGTTCGTAATCCTTTTCTTCGCATTGTTCTTCTTCATTACTTTCCTTTTCATGCTGGTGCTTAGGTTTTTGCTTTGGTCTCTACCACCAACGTTTGGTTCATGCCATCCCAGCGCCATATTTCCTGATTGGAATATATTTTCTTATATCCTACTTTCACTTTTCTCCCTTCCTTGCTTAGTTCTTGTCAATTCTGTCCTTCTTTGACAGGTCATCATTGATATAAACCAGACAGTTTCTTCGGTTTCTTAATTTGCTTTTGTTTCGCATGACTTTTCTTTTGTCCTCTTCCTTTTCAAGCTCAACCAGACAGACTTTTTCTCCCAGCTTCACAACCTTCTCTATTTGAACATCGACTGTTAATTCTACCTGCATAAAATTTTTTATTTCTTGTTTTAGAGTCTCTAGAACATTTGTATCTATGTTCAGGCCTTGTATAACTATATTTTTACGTCTTTTTTCATTTTCCAAACTTTCAAGCCGTTCTTCTATTTGAAAAAACTACCTTTTTTAGTTTTATGTTTTCCTCTCTTAATGTTACATTCTCTTGTCTTAACTGTCTTATTTCTAAATACTATTCTAAATACATTATTATCTTTTATATGTCTAATGAGGATTGTAGGAGATTTTAAAGTTATGTAATACTCCAACAAATTGCAGAGCGACACATATTTTAAATGTTTAAATATTATTTTAAATTTTATTTGCAGTTTTAATTAAAATCATCTCAATCTTCAACAAAACATACTAAATAAAAATATTTTAGCCAAAAATGCAGATACAGTTATGCTAAACAACCGTACGATGTTTCCGTTAAGTTTCATAAGTAACACTAGCGACAGAAACACTTTGTCTTCTCATAGGGAAAATTTATTGTGTGTGACATTCATACATAAAGACAATTAAAATGTTTTAGGATGCATTAAAACTGTAAATATAATTCATACAAGCAATTGTTAAAACGGAGGTACTGACAATTTTTTTTATTTTTAATAGTTAACAAAATGTTTCCCACTATTTAGCTAAAATTGTGGAGCAATAAGCTAATTTTGCGATACAAAGAAAATTTACTATTCTTTTTCTTCTTCTTACAATGTCTTGTTTTTTCAAAGTTGTAGTCTAGTTGGCATTCCGATGTTTAACTTTCATACCAGCGTTTGGGGGTCTTCTGGGTGGTTCGGTTTCTTTCTTTGCAAATGATTGATTTGATTTTCACTCATTCTATCAATGTGGTCACCCCATGTCCTTTTATTAACTCTAAACCATTTTATAACGTCTTGAGTGTTACATAGGTTCCTGAAATAACTGCTCCTCAACCTGAATCTTGAAGTGTTTTGCTTTTGCCAGTAATTTATCTCGTGTGTTCATTACTATCGTTATCATTAGTTGCTTAGTAGTGGTTCTTTCTGGTCGTGTTTCTGTAGCCTAGGTCATAGTAGGTCTACACGGATTTTGTAAATTTGTATTTTGCTTTCGTTCCTCATATATTTGTTTCTCCATATTACCTCTCGGAGAAATCGTTATATTTTAGCTACTGTTAGGGTTTGTGATTGTATTTCTTGTTTTAAATTGCTATTGCTTTTAATATTAGTACCGTGACTTGCTCCCCACTTTAATTATAATTTGGTAACTGTTATCTTCTGGACATACATAATAATATTTGATTCTTTTGATATTTTTTCAAACTTGTATAATAATCTTTGTAGATTGTCCTCATCTTCAGATATTATGATCGCATCATCAGCATAGCAAATATCTTAAATTATGTATTGCCTATTCCATATCCTCTTCACACGATTTTTACTTGTTTGATGCTAAAATCCATAAAGACGTTAAAGAGGACTGGTCTGAGAATATCTCCTTGCCTAATTCCTGTTGAGACTACCTTGTTGGATAGATTATTGTTTGCTCTTATGAAAGTACTATTCCCTACGTTTAACTGTCAATTAATTTTAATTATTTTTTGGTTCAACCCTTTCAGGACGGCACCTATTTGTTCTTGCAATGCCACACAGACGGCAGTTTTTTAGGACGGATGGCACATATATCAAATCAGAATAAAAAAAAGTAACACGTTATGTTTATTAATTGTTTATTAAGTAAAGACATACGTATTTTTTTAATGTAAGGAATATTTTGGTAAAAAAAGTGCATTTTTTTTAATTTCTTTAGTATGGTATGTCTCCAAACATGTAACCACACATAAGCCTACATCACATTCTTTACACATGTATCTCGATACCTTGCGTTTTTGGTCCGTTTCTTTTGTATGCGAACACACAACTTGTGGATGCAGTTTTTGTCCTTTCGGTTGCTGGAACAAATTAAGGAAAATGCTGTTTCTTTAATCCGGATACATCCGCTGGCATAGATGTAGGTTTTTTCACTTATATTCATATCTAAAATTAAAACAAGCTATAATGTATGTAAATAACGACTGAAAAATAAAAACTTATCTTCTAAAGAAGGTAATACAAGAACATAGCATGGGCATTTAGTACACAGATATCTGCTGTGAAAAAAAAATATTTTTTATACCATTTTGTGGTCTTGCTCATGCAATCAATGCTACTTATCATCATGTCGAAGCGGTCAACTGACCCAATTTGTTTATTATACTCAATAACACAATATGGTTTCCTTACTGGTTCTTTAGTGATAGAATCAATTTTGTCAAGAACAACCATTTTATTTTAATGCATTATTATTATCGTCATTACATCTCTTCTGTTTTTCCATTTAAACACCAAGTAATTATCAGAATTTTTCCAATCTACTTCATCAATTCTTCTTCAATTGAGCTTTTGTCTATGCAAAGATTTATGTTCATACAATTAATGTGACAAGATTAGACGGGTATAAAAATGCACAGCTGATTTTACAGCTCATAAATCCATAGTTATAATAATCACCTCATTTCGTTTAGCCATTTCTTTGTCACGTTTCTTCTTTGTCTTATCTTTTGTTTCATTGCAACATGTTTTTACCAAGCTTCATCATTTGGACACAAGGACAAACACCTTAAAATTTTAAAACAGGCGAAGCTACATTATGATTCTCTCTCCGGTTTCCGAACATAATGTAGATTCGCCTATTTTAAAATTTTAAAATGGTTGTCCTTGTGTAGTGTAGTGTGATATACAATTTTATGTTTATAACAGTATTATTTTTATTTGACATAAATTCATTAAAGCTTGGTCGCCGGTCATCTTTGATCTCATGTTGAAGTTCATGCTTCTTCTGTTTCTTTTGAGCCAGCATAAAGTGCAAGACGATTTATGTGAACTACTTTTGGTTTACATTTCGGCAACTTCTTAATTCGGTATATTACGTCATTTATTCTCTTTTTAATTTCATACGAACCTGCCCATTGTCTTTGTAGTTTATCATCTACTTCATAGTCATTCTTGCAATTATGGCGAATGTGACCTACGTCACCACAATTCCAACGTCTGGGCTCGCGTCTCTTCGGCATCGTGTTACGAACTTTTTTTCGTACTATTTCTTTTAGATATTCATGGTTTAGTTTGTCACCTTCTTCAATGGTTCTTACTCGATGGCTCTGTGAAGTTTAACTAGCTGTTTCATGTTTCAAGTCAATAGCGAGCTCTTCATCTAGAACTTTCGGTCTTACTAGTCGTAAGGCTTTTTGTAATTGACTTTCTTTCAACCCATTGACGAATGTGTCTACAGCGATTTCTTCCAAAATGCTGTCTGGTACCTCCGGATACGCCAACCACACTATAGAGCAACATCTGCTTCAAACTCTTGCACATTTTCTCTTCTACAGCACGATTATATCTTATCCACTAACGTAGCTAATATTAGCGCTACTTATATATACAAGAATATTCTGGAATAGTCCACCTCTATTCACTTGCATTAACGCTTCGATTCTATCCCCGTCGATACATCCGGAAGGTTTTCGAAGGCAGATCATCGTCGTTTCGAGATGCAACCGTTATATGGGCTACGTCGAAATAAGCAAGTTTGGTACAATACAGATTGAGGACAGACTTCTATAGAAGCAACGCAAAGTTATATAAGTCCAAATCTATTTAACGCATGTGATGAATGGATAATGTAAAGGTTCGTATGGGATGAAGTAGTCCCCAAAATGTTGGTGAAAGGAAGATCTGGAGTTTTAATGTCCATTAAGTCTGCTTTACCACGTTGTCGTTAGTGACACGATGTTCTGTCAAAATCCTTTACACCGAGACTACCATCTGAGTGAGTCTTAGTCTTCAAATCGCTTTTTCCACTAACACAACTCTTTCGTCCAAAGCAGAGGATCTATTGGAATTTGCTTATAGACGTTTGCATTGAACTTTGCATAAATTTCACAGGTTTTATATATATATATATATATATATATATATATATATATATATATATATATATACATATATATATATATATATATATATATATATATATATATATATATATAGCACATAAAATTTCTAAACGCCACTTACACTCGATGACTGTATACACAAGAGTGGCATCTTTTTGGGGAACCATTGCCAAGCGAAGAGTAGGAGTTATTGGTGTTCATGTTATATTAACTTTTCTTTAGAAATATTGTATTAATCTGTTTTCTTTTTATTTCAGAGCCATGATTTACCTGAAAATATCTACGGCATGTCTTTTACTCATGCTGGTAGCTGCCCAAGACAACTATCCCAACTATAATAACCAGAATAATAATAATCAAAATTATAATCCATCCAATCAGAATTATAATCCACAGAACAATTATGATCGGCAAAACGGTTTCACGAATCCTCAAAACAACTTTAACGGCGACAATCCAAACTACAGCAATCCAAATTATAACAACAATAATAACAATAACAACAATTTTAATAACAATAATCAAAATTTCAACAACCAAAACTTCAATAGTCAGCCAACAGATCAAGGAGACTGCTGCGAGGATTACTGCTACGTTAATGATCATGAACCTTATTTGTATTTCGGAACGAAAACGGCATATGACAGTCTGAATAGAAGGGGTGGAAATCAGCATGTTATACCTGGTAAGTACAAAATAAGTTTTGCGACAAATCAGATTAAAAATATTTTTTTAAATAGTTAGTTTTACATGAGAAAGTTGATATTTTGAACAAGTGGTAATATTTTAATAATAAGACTGTTAAAAAAACGAAATACGTGGAATATAATAGCAAATATATCGACAGATGAATATTTTAATTTTTATGTTCGGTATACAGCCTAAAATACATTTTAATAATTGAAAAGTAATCACAAGAAGAGAAATTATACGATTTCTACCTGGCGAAATCGAATTTACATTTTTACCACTGTGCTTCCTAAACTTGCAAAGCAAACAGCTTGATGAATTACTCGGCAAGGGAATCTAAAATTGCATTCCACATGCCGTTCATCATAGTCAAAATTCATAGTGAATTCAATTTCTGGTACTCCAAACGGAGTAAAGAAATTTAGTTTCTGTAGCATTCGTGTTATTTCTTATAGATTCGTTGGATTTCGATTTCCTCTCTAGCTTTGATGTTCTAGCACTTCTTCTCAAATAATCCATTTCAACGGCCAACAATCTTCTCTTCAAGTCTGCATTAATTGTCCATACTTCAGAGCCATAACAAACAACTGATTCAACTATGGTAGCCCTATTCTTTTCTTGTTCCTTTGGAAATGTTGCGATCCCACCATAAGGAGTTCAGACATCCTACAATTTTACGTCCCTGATTAATTCGGTGGTTAATTTCGGCTTCTCCCAAGTCATTCTTATCAATAAGTGTACCTAAATATTTAAATTTTTCCACTTGTTTGATTTCCATGCCTCATCTATCAACACTTCAAACCTTGCATCTGAATTGATAACTAAATATTCTGTTTTCTTGAGCTAGGACGACTTGGTCATCCGAAAGGTTCAGGGAGAACAGTACTCCATATCCTATGGGGATTCCCTTTTCCGGGCAGTGGTTTTTCCAATTTTGGAGGGCTTTCTTAATATATAAATTAAACAGTAAGGGTGACATACCTTGTCTTAGTCCTTTAGTTACTTTTATTGGTTCTGATAGTCTATTTGTGATTTTTAGGCAAGTAGTGTTATCCCTGTATACTTCTGTGAATATTCCTAAAAGGTATGGACTAATGCCGAATTGTTGTAAAGTTTGCCACAATTAAAGTCTTGGAACTGTATGATACGCCTTTTCTAGGTCGATGAACGAATGATCATACGAACAAAATTGAAGCATTGGAAATGTGGGTTCATAAATGAATGCTGAAGATAACTTGGACAGCAAGGAAAACTAATAAAGAAGTACTAAGAAGCTTCAACAAAGATAGAGAACTGCTAAAGACTGTTAAACATCGAAAAATGTCTCATCTGGGACACATAGTAAGGGGAAGTCGATATAAAATATTACAACTGATCCTTAACGGCAAAATAGAGTGCCGTAGAGGTGTAGGAAGCAAATGGGTTTCTTGGTTGAGGAACATTTGTGAATGGGCTCGGATATCAAATGCGGGACAATTATAATATATTGCAGAAGATCGAGAAGCCTTCGCAATGGTGATCGCCAACGTCGGATCATTCTGATATAGCACGCAAAGAAGAAGGAATTCTCTCCCACCATCCTGCTATGCCATCTCGGGGGACTCGCCAGCATGGTATATATCTTTGGAATATACATATCACTCGATAGTTACATCTTTATTGATGAATGAACACATGCTGTTAAAACTTATTTACATATTAATAATTAATAATTAGGATAGTACTTAGTTGACGTTGTACTGAGATTTACAGTAATTTGCGTATTGTAATAATAATTACGCTTTGATAAGATTTTTTATCTAATAATACAAGTAAACCGACTTATACCTTGAGTCATCAACTCTTCGTTAATTCCATTGTTGACTGTTTTTATAATCGTTCTTGCCTATGATCAGTTGAATAGTAAGTCAACTTTTGTTGTGAAAATGGTGCATGATAAACAAGGCCACGCTGTCCCAGATGCTGATTGGAAACAATTTTAATTAAAACAATAATGCAATTTAAGAGTACCTAATGTAAAATATTACTTCGGGATTCTTTATGAATTCTAATATCTTAGGAATAATATTACAAGAGGGAGCCATCATAGGCCACCTTTTTCTAGACTATGTATTTAAAATAGTTTTAATCATTTTGTAGATTGCCGACCTGTACAGTTTTGGAGTATTATCAGACATGGTGCTGAACTGCCTGATTCTGATACGATTAGGACGATGAGAAATATGAACAAACTTCATGAGGATATTTTACGAAACCACGAGCAAAGAAGAACCTATCCTGACAAAGGCAGACTGTGCCCTACCGACTACGATCTATTCAAAAGGTAACATTCAATTTAAACTTTGAGGGTATACAAGGCAACTATCGAACACGGTGATTAATTTAATCTTGCCCAAGTACTTTCGATCAATAGATCATCTTCAGGGGCATTTCGTCAATTGTGGACTATCCGACATACTAGAATGTCATAAATGTAAAAACTGGACATAACAATACAAAATACACTACACTAAGACAAACAAACACTTTAAAATTTATATGGCGAAGCTAAATATTGTGAAGAAGCCGGAGACAGAATCAATTTGTCTTGAAACTTCTGTCTCCGGCTTCTTCACAATATGTAGCTTCGCCATATAAATTTTAAAGTGTTTGTTTGTCTTAGTGTAGTGTATTTTGTATTGTTATGTCCAGTTTTTACATTTATGACATTCTAGTATGTCGGATAGTCCACAATTGACGAAATGCCCCTGAAGATGATCTATTGATCGAAAGTACTTGGGCAAGATTAAATTAATCACCGTGTTCGATAGTTGCCTTGTATACCCTCAAAGTTTAATTATTCGAACATTCAACCTTATATTGAACATTCAATTTGTTGTCTAAATTATAATAGTTTTCACACATTTTTGGAATAAAGTTACGTTTTTTATCAATGTAGTGATATTTTGTTGTTGTTTTTTGAAAATTTCTGCAAAATTTCGACCATTAGATCTTTTTAGATTGTGGGTAGTCACAAAAATTTAAGTTCCTGGTTTTATTTTTCTTTCACGTTCTACTTACAATCAAAAACCAGGTATAACACTCTAGCATTTATCCCTTCAAGAGTTGACGAACGAAAACGGTCTAACCTTTAGAAATTATTAATGTCTTAAATGTCAAGGAATTAGGAATGTCAATCGGAAACATACTGTTTCCGAAAACACATGTTTAAAACAAAATACTAAAGAAAACCATATATTACTAAATAAGGCTAAATTTTATTTTTAATAATGTTTTATGCATTTCTCTCATTTATTGATAAACTAGAATTTCTGCAATTTCGAAATTATTTAAAACATTTGTAAAAACAATGTATAGTATGTTTCAACTGTAGTGGTGAAAATTTCTAGGAACAGTAAAGCGTCACCAAACAAAGCAGTGGCGTTCCAAAAAATACTTATGATTTAAATCAAATTGGGAAAGATAGGTACACACAATTTATTAAACAATGATATTAGATTACATTTTTGGCAATATTGTACAACATTTTAATACATATTATTATAATATATCACATACATGTATTGTCTGTATGTGAAACCATAGATACGTATTACAGATTACAGTATTAATAAATATTAAATTACAAATATTGTTTTATCTTTAAAACCTTTATTATTTATATTATTACTCACTTAAACGTCAGAAAGTTAAATAGAAGAATATACGAAATGATTATAATAAAGTAAAAAAAGTAATATAGGACAGTTTGGAAAACTTATATTCACATAGGTTACACAAGTACATCGTAATGTTAAATTATATTATTCACTTTCATAACTATGCGCCGTTCACTTTCCAAATGCTTATCTTCAACCTTGACAACATGTTCACACACTTTCTTCCAGTTATCTACAGTTCCTCTAGCAAATTCCTGTTCCACCAACACTTTTACTTCTTCTAACTTAAAATAAACGTTTTGTTTTGCAACTTCATTTTTTATTTGCGCCCAACCATTTCTATAGATATATTTATCTGCTTGTGGTACCAATTCTACTTCCAAAGTAACGATATTATTCAACACCTTCTGTATCATTATTCGGGATATTTGTTTTTATCCCGTCTTCTCTTTTGTTGGCAATTAGCGGCGGACAGAGCTTCTCATACTGGGAGAAATTTAAGGAAAACCTGGATGTCTCAAAGTTGGGCCGTCCTTAGCTTCCACTTTCACATGATCTAAGGTCAGCTCCACCCTGATCTTAAAGAATTAACGACTACTATTGACCATGAAGAACCTCTCCACCAAACAAGAGACACCCAAGGGTGTGACAAACAAGGTCTACGAATCCTAAACGTGTTATTTCAAATAGATTAAAAAGTAGGCAAACATGGTAAATTTGACAGGAAACATCTGTTTAATTCTTTTTTCTAATGATTATTACTTTTTAACTGCCATATTTTATTTTAGATGGAGATTTAATGAATCAATAAACGAAGGACGAGCCAACGGCTTGTCGGAGCAAGGAAGAAATGACCTGAAACTATTGGCCAGAAGATACAAAACTAAGTACTCAGAAATTCTACAAAATTATGACAGCCAATCATACAGTGTAAGTAAAATTTGGTTAATAAGTTAAACATTAATTACTGTAAAAGTCGCGGCATATTATCATGCACGTATAGTTTCCGGCACATAGCGTTTCTAGTCCAGCAATCGGACTGGACGTTCACATTTTCATATATAGAACGTTTCAGTTTGGTGCGGTGAAGATGTGTTCTCGCTTTTCGCGACAAAAATTATATGCAACTGTTCTTCTACTTGACGATGAAGAAAGAAAAACTGTAGTAAAAAGAAGGTTTGGAGTACATCTAATGCTAAGAGAAAGAAAAGACGACCAGACAGAAGCCGAATAAGCTTCAAGGACAAGCACGCTTACTCATAATAGAAGCGATGTCGACTACCACTACCACCTCCATGGAGGTCATAGTTGACCTCTCTCCATTACATATATGGATGGAGAAGGCGTCAAAGTTAGGAGCATCGAGAAAGCGGATAAGATACCAAGAAGCAGGGTGAAAGGATCAAATATGAAGATATAATAAATCATCCAGATTTCGAAATGGTACCAGATGCAATGCAACCTAAATATAATTTCGAAAAGATGTTTACCGCCGTTTTTCAGGAAGAGACTTATGGGTGCCTATATATACTGGTACTGAAGGGAAAAACTTCAATCGGAAGGACACTTAGGAAAAAGATATATTTTTATACCATTTTACCATTTATTTTACAGCAATTTATTAGCTTATCAGCTTATCTCACCACAAGCATATCCATTCAAGTTCTATCTTAATAAAATCGTGTTGGGGCGTGTCCAAATATTTATTATAACTAGAAATAGACCAAGATTTAGCATAGTCTAACCTAACCTAATAATTATTGTTTTATATGTCATTTTATCCTTTTATATATTTATCTTAATAAAACATGTAATGTTTTTTTCAATTTTTTTTAGTTTCAACACTCACCTGAAAACCGCGAGAGTTTTGAAGCCTATATAACTGGACTTTTTGATGACGATGTCAGAAATATTGTTCATGCCAACATCTTAAACGGTGATAGATTAACCAGAGTAAGTTAATGTTTTTTTATATACAATATTTTACATCACTTACAAGGTTAAAAAATTGTTTTATGTATTCATCGAACATTTAAATATCTTTTGAAACTTTTTAACAATCTTTTTACCGGGTTATTAGCTTTTCTAAATAAATTATGATATATATAATATATATATATATATATATATATATATATATAGATTAAAAACGTATCAGTGTTAACAAAGTATACGGTTTATTTTAGCCTACACAAAATTGTCCAAGGTGGCAGGAAATTGAAAGCTCCCAATTTCAAATTGGATCAGAATTACAAAGGTTTAAGGAAAGACAAGATTATCAAAAAATGGTGAGAGATGTATTTAGAAGATTGGGATATAGGTTTACTTTAAACGCCACTGTTATAGACGATATCTATAATTTATGTAGATACGAAAAAGCCTGGTAAGTATAAGTTTAACTTTTTTAGTAGGAAGTACAGTTTTTTGAGGAAGTACAACGAACTGCAGGTACAGAAGGGGAGATAAAGAAAATGAAACAGGACTTTTAAAGTAACGATCTGCAAGAAGCATGTAAATATCTTCGAAATCTAAGAGAAGAGTACAAATCACGAACAAGTTTGTGTAAACACTAAGAGAGATAATTCGGGAAACAGCAGAAGTAAAATCTGTTTGGAAAATTGCTTTTTCAAGCTCTGCTAGGAACACAAGAAAATGACTAACCCCTTCCGTTTCTTTTTTTTTCAATAGTGCTAACATTCTGAAATTTTAATTAAAATTTTTTCACTGGATAGCAGATTGTAGTTATGTTAGAGAGTTTCTCGAAGTATGTCCTTTAAACGATACTTTAAAGTATGTTTATTTTAAATACGCGGCCCTAGGCCCATAACCTTTTATAATCATATATAAATATGACTCAAAATAACTTGTGACGTGTACTCACAAAATACAATGACAATTAGATCTATTAAAATTATATAGATAAAAATGATAGTTTGATCAATTTCATCAAAAATAATGACGCGAAAGTCACATAGTAACAAGGCATTTATTTAATCACGTTCATCAACTAAAAACCCTATTTTTGGACATGATAAAGGATTGTGAAAAAAGAAATTTTGATTCACTGGTTTGTTTACGTTTGACATCTTTCCAACTTCCCCATTAGAAAAATTTAAACAAGCAAGCCTGGTAAATTTTTCATCTTTTTAAGTTAAAAGAATTTAATATAAAGCTACTTATTATTTTAGGAACCCCCAACCAAAGTCTCCCTGGTGCGTCGCTTTCAACAAAAACCAACTTAAAGTTTTAGAGTACGCAGAAGATCTGAAGTATTTCTTCGAGGCAGGATACGGAAATAGGATGTCAGAAAGAATTGGATGCAACCCTCTCAAAGACTTTTACGAGAGATTTGAAAGAACAGTAAACGGTAGGTTACTTTTATTGTTGGGTGATTGTACGAGCCCCATATATTTAAAAAAACATCATACATATTAGAGTAGACTGGGCCTCAAGAGGTACGTCTAAATGTTTATTCGAACTCCCATGATTTGAGCGAGGTTAACATATCTGTTAAGTGTCTTCATATACATCTCAAGAATGCCCAGGCTTTCGACCCTCATAGGTACTGTTTACCATGGAAAGACTTTTATAGTCAGGGCATTTAGATTATTCAGATCTTCCTTTTTTTAAAACATTTACATTTCTCTTAAGTCTATTCTGCAGTTCGTTCGTAATGCCCAGGCTTTCGACCCTCATAGGTACTGTTTACCATGGGAAGACTTTTATAGTCAGGGCATTTAGATTATTCAGATCTCATTTTCTTTAAAACATTTACATTTCTCTTAAGTCTATTCTACAGTTCGTTCTTTCATTTTTTTTTATTGATATTTCTCAGTACTTGTGTGCTGGGACAGATTTGGCGACGTGCAACTACTTGGGTGTGATACGAGAAACGATCGTGCGCGAGTAGCGGAGAAATCTTGCATTTTTTACTGCACATTTCATAGATTTCATAAATTAATATTGTCAATTGTCATATTTCATATTCGTTTGTTTATTTACACCTTCTGTTACTGAAGAAAATGGGATTTAGGAAATGCTGTGTTATAAATTGTAAAAATACAACAAAAAATTGTCAATTTAACTTTTATTCGTTTCCAACTTCGAAGCACAAATTACTACAAAGAGAAAAGTGGATTTATATCATAAAAAAGCATAAGTAACATAACCTAAATTATGCATTATTCTTGCGCTCGATTTTAATGCCAGTTTGAAATAAATAATAAATAAAATTTCACTTTTAAGTGTAAATTTTAGTTTCATAATACTCACTTAGAGTTCATTTTAACCCAAAAATCAAGTTTAATGTTTAAATTTTATTTTTTTGAAGTTTTCAAAAATGCATCAAGTTCAAGTTTTTCTGAAGATGCATTAAGATATATTCGCTGTCCAATAGTTTACAGGGAAAGAATTAATTGTTCAAACCAATATGATGATATCATGGGCTTAACCTGCTAATTTATGCATTTATGTATTAGCATTATTTATGGTAATTTATTTTTCTAATTCTTTCACATAATTCTTCCTTTCTTTTTAGACATTTGTCACTACTAACGCTTTTCCCTTTGACTCAGTGCTTGGTTGAAAAGTTATTTGGTGATTTACTTTCTCAAATCCAGTTTTTATTATTGCATCCATATTAACAGTAATGCTGTAATTTAATAATATATTTATTTGTATTTACACTACATACAACGTTTACCTTTTAATAACATACCGACTGTCCGACATAACCTCAATCTTACTTTTTCTTCTTATTCTTTTTTGGGGCTACGTCCTTGACAGTGACAGTTATCCGGTAACCTCGATCTAACATGAAATGATGAAAGCGCAGTAAATTTTGCTGATTTACACCAGGTGTCGCTGTTCCGAACTTGCACGGTCCCAATACCTGAACAGGTAACAAATGTCTCTATGGATCGTAGAGAAGTGATGAGCTCGTACAGTTTTGCAAAGAAGTATAATTTGCTAATACAATCCATTACAAAAACAAAATTCATAAAGAAAATTGATATAAATAGCTTAAAACAACCTAACGTTAAACTAAAAGTCACAGAAAAATTAAATGAGGCAATAGCAGATATCACGGCATAATCTAAACAACCGGCCAGTATAGAAGACAAATGGAATTGTATTAAAAAAGCTATCGTAACTACCACCAAGTCTATGATCGCTTCCCAAAAGTACAAAAAAAAAAAAGAATTGGATGACTGACGAAATATTATCAATGATGGACGACCGCAGATCATTTAAAAACAAAGACCGAACCAAACATCAGCAGATTAATCGACAAATACGAAAAGAGTGTCGCAAAGCTAAAGAACAGTGACTGCTAGACAGATGTAAAGAAATGGAGGAATTAGAAGAAAAACATGACCACCTTAACATACATAAACTCGTTAAAGAAGTGACAGGCCATACAAAACCTTGCAGTTTTAACAGTATTGTGAAGGAAATAAATTAATTACTGATCCCAAGGATCTACTTCAGCATTGGAGAAACTACACACAGCAACTATACTCAGACAACACTAGAATAAACTCTGAAAATGAATATAAATGTAAACCCTCCCCGAAAATATTGAAGTCAGAAGTTGTAATGGCAATCAAACAGAGCAAATGGGAAAAGAACCAGGCCCAGACGACATATACATAGAGGTTCTAACAATGTTGAGTGAAGACAATATAGACGCCACAAGATTGGCTTCAATCAACCTTTATACCAATCCCAAAAAAGCCAAACGCTAATAGTTGCGATCAATTCCGAATGATCAAATTATTGAGCCAGATCCTAAAACTTTTGTTAAAGATAATTCACACAAGAATATACAGCAGATGTGTAAGAGACATTAGCCACACAGTTCGGTTTCAGACAAGGATTTGGCACAAGAGAAGCACTTTATAGCTTAACTGTCCTACTTCAGAAATGCAGAGATCAGCAAAAAGATGTCTTCCTATCCTTTATAGATTATCAGAAAGCGTTGTTAATCATGCAGAATTAGTAAGATTGCTCCAGGAGCGTTCGATAGATGAGAATGACCTTAATCATAAAGAACCTTTATATGAAACAAGTGGCATTTGTGAGAGTAGGACTGGAATCTACATCATATTTCTCAATCAAAAAATGTGTACGACAGTGTGGTGTTCTGTCACCCCTCCTTTTAATCTTTACTCTGAAACGATTTTCGCTAGATTATTAAGTGATACTGAATATGGAATCAAAATCAACGGACAGACTATTAGTAATCTTCGCTATGCTGATGATACAGTCGTAATAGCTGATAGCCAAGAAGCGCTATAACGACTAATAGATAAGTCAAAAGAAAAGGCAAAAAAGTATTTTTGAAGTGTGTATATTTTTTAATAATTTCTAGCTGAGCGCTTTCGGCTTTACAAAGGCATCATCGGAGCTATGCTACAATAAAATGTTTTTATAAGAAACTAATTGGTGAAGATTTTAATTTTGTACTTACGTCAATTTATAAATACCACTACAATGGAGAGATCTCATTTCCTTATTTGTTGAAATTTTGATTTTTTTTTAAATTACTTAGTTGTTAAAATTCTTAAAAAAACATACAAAAAACCGACGTTGGACTTCACAGACACATTAAAAAATGTTTGTCATGGTACGGGTGTAAGAACCCGACCATTGTTTGCTGTGAGGAGGTAGACAGAATAGAACTAATAAATGTCGGTTTTTTGTATGTTTTTTAAGAATTTTAACAACTAAGTAATTTAAAAAAAAAATCAAAATTTCAACAAATAAGGAAATCAGATCTCTCCATTGTAGTGGTATTTATAAATTGACGTAAGTATAAAATTAAAACCAATTAGTTACTTATAAAAACATTTTATTATAGCTTAGCTCCGATGATGGCTTTGTAAAGCCGAAAGCGCTCAGCTAGGAATTATTAAAAAATATACACAATTCAAAAATACTTTTTTGCCTTTTCTTTTGACTTGTCATAAGTGTGTACAAAAAACATATCAGTCTTTTGATTGACTAATAGATAGAATAAACACTGAAGGAGATCGACTGGGCTTGAAGATTAATATAGACAAGACGAAGGTATGGTGGTTAGTAGAACAAGAAATATGGAATTAAATATAAGAGTAAACAATAAGAACATCCAAAAGGTCCGCAAGTTCAGATATCTCGGTAGTTGGATAACTGAAGATCTAGATTCAGGCATAGAGATACGTAGCAGGATTGAGCAAGCCAGAACAGCATTTACTAATATGATAACCTTACTAAACAACAGCAGCCTTAACTTAACGCTTCGATATCGCTTTGCAAAATGTTACTTTTACTCCATACTGCTATAATGGTGTAGAAACCTGGACCATAAAGAATAATGTGATAAACCGATTGGAGGTCTTTGAAATGTGGAGTATTTAGAAGATACTTAAAATTCCCAGGACAGAACAAATGTCGAAGTATTAAATCGAATGGACAGAGAACGAGAATTGCTCTTATAATAAAAATAACATACTTCAAACGTCCTCCTCGAATTAGATGCACACGAATTCTCCAAATAAATAGCATTGGAAATATTGTACCGAATAAAGACCAAATTGGCTGCATTTAAATTTAAAGTTACCCCCTCTGTGGCTCAGTGGTAAGAGCGCCTACCTTTGAACCTAAAGGTCGGAAAGTTCGAATCCACCTGGGTGAAAATTTTCGTTTATTAAAAATTAATAAATGAAAATAATTTCTATCCTTGTGCGATCGGTACTCACCGGAGGGACCGCAGACGTTCGGATACAATTAGCGTCTCTTAGCAAAGACAATGACGTCGACTTTGCTAAGTATCAAGACAATTACTCTACACACACACTACACACTACACAGGTACCTGACTGTAAAAATTCACTGTACCATGCCAATGACCATTAGTTGTCGACGTATTCTCAATAAAAAAAAAATTAAAGTTAACAAGCGGTTAGAATCATCATTGTGCAGCTTATTTGGGTGCAAATATTCACTCAGATCATTCCATATTTTTGTTAGTCATGAAAATGAGATGAAAGACGCCAAATACTAAACTCTTAATAAAAAATAGTCATATTTCTGAACTAACTGAAAGAATAAGTTTAAAGTAAATATAAGGAAGAAAAATCTAAATTAGAGGTTAGGGAGGACATAAAAACAAAATGGATTTTATGAGGAGAAGCTTTCGAAGATCAAAATTAGAGAGAATTCCAAATGAGCATATAAAAAATAAAATGGATATGAGCAGAAATATACAAGAAGAAATTAAAAGAAAACATTAAACTTGATGTGGTCATTGGCCATGTTAATAGAATGCTGGAGAACAGATGTCCTTGGAAAATATTGATATGGATACTTGCATATCTGCATAGAAGGAATAGGTCTATCACGTCAACGTGTATAAAAAATATTCCTTTCATCAGGTGGCTGTAGCTTCCTCCGTGGATGCGTTAGTTGTACGAGTAGCTCTGAGAACTTATGGTCTAACATTATTACCACAGTATGGCTGCACTGTTCACGGTAGTGATCCATTTTTTCAAGTTAATTTTCTCCTTTTCTAACTTGGCTACACCATACTGATGTCGACCAAATAATCAGAAATACGTATTTACGGTTGTTTCGTTTTGAGTTTTGCTAATAATTACTCTTATATATATTATTAATATAGCAGGTAAAAAGTTAATTGGAAAAAGGGGCTTCTCAAATGTTAAGGGTTAATTCGACATAGCAAAAACCATCCAAGAAGACATAGCAAAAGCCATTCCAAAGAAAAGAAGATTGGAAACCGAAATATAAAATGCAATTTTCATTACACTAAATTGTGATTTAATCCCATCTAAATACAATACTTAAATGAGATTAAAGCACTGAATTTGATAGTAACCTAAACCACAGTATAGTGCTTTTTTAAAGCACTATACTGTGCCTAAACTCAACAATATATACTTTGCATATCATAATATATTTATTTTTAGGTAATAACGATGGAAATAAGGCATCTTTCATATTTACCCAAACAGAAACTTTTCTATCAACGCTTGTAGCATTAGGCATTGCCAAAGACTACAATCCTTTGACTGCTGAAAATTACATGCAACAATCCAGAAGGAACTGGAAGACATCAACGATCAGTCCTTTTGCAGCTAACTTGGTCGCTACACTTTACGAGTATGTATAAGATTATTTATTATTCTCCAATATATTATAATTTACAAATATTCAAGAAAATAAAAGAATAGCATCAATCTAGGGTTTATTATACCAACCAAATCAAGTACTATGTATGTAAGATATGAGCTAGGGCCAGAGGCCTTCGTGTTTGTAAAATAGTCGCCCTCGAGGTTTAATCCCTTGGTACACAAATGATTATTTGGACTATATATAACGTTTTGTAATTTTATTTAATATTCAATCATTTGTCTTCAATTTAGCAATTATGGCTTTAAATTCAACTTTAACTTTCAACTTCAACCAGAAACCTGATAACACTGTTTCACCATATTGGATCCGCCATTTTTAATTTTACAATTTTGACATCAGATTCGTGATCAGTGACCCCAAAAATCTTATAATACTGTTGTTCCCATTAGATTTATTAAAACTATATATCTAGTCGCCATATTGGATCCACCATTTTGAATTTTATAATTTTGACATCAGATTCATGATCACCGACCCCAAAAACTCAATTTTTATAGAAAATTGCACTGAAAATCCAATTTTCTTTACTTAAGAACCGTCTATACAGTATTAGAAAACCTAAGGAAAAGACGAATGATATCGGTAAAGCCGTTCTCATGCCGGATATAGGGATTAATTTTTTATAATAGATTTCTGGTTTAATTATTCTGCAATCCCCTTTAAACAGATTTATGAGTCAAAAATCCAATAATCCTTTTTGATGCGGTTAATTCCACAAGTTCTTTAATTTCACTTTTCTTCTGACTGTAGTAGTGTGACTCCAATCATTTCTTTCTTTATTTTCTAACTAATTCATGGAATTTTGTTTTTACTCTCTTGTATTGCTCGTAATTTTCTATGGTTCTTAATGTCTTCAGAGATACCGTTCAGAAAGCCAAAGCGTTTTTGACTTGAGATTTCTACTTATTTGCTTTAATTGTTTTACTTTCCCCATAAAGACTAACATAAATACACCTATAACAATGATTTTATAATCACAAATCTAGTGATAACACCGTCACAAGTACTTGATGTCAAAGCCCTAACATCTGCTAACCTTGGAACCGATCACAATCTTGTTTTATGTAAGATACTACTAGAACGTCCGCAACGAAATAAAAAAACCCCCAATGCTCATCGAAAAACACAATATAGAGTCGCTAGCAACAGAGAGTATAAAAACTCCTTTATGAGAACAGGATTACCAGCAAACTAAAAGAGATCATAAGAGAGTTACAACCAGAATGGGGAGTAGAAGATACTTGGCAAAAAATCAGGAAATGCATCAACCAAGCAGAAGAAGAAGCAATTGGAAAGCGGAAAATGAACACGAGGGCAATAAATCACACCAAACCGTGGTTTTGTCAAGAGGTAAAAGAACTCTCTGAATTAAAACGAAAATGCTACCTGAGATATAAAAGCACACAATCGGAAGAAGCTTTCGCAGAATATGTCCAAGTAAGAAACGAAGTAAACGCAAGAATAAAATCAATCAAAAGAGAACATTGAGATAAATTCACCAGCGACATGGACTACGACCTACATGGTGCCCAAAAGAAAGTATGGAAAATACTTCGTAATAGGAAAAAACCAGTTAACGAGTTCGTGCACACCAAGGGAGTACCTATAGAGACATGGCAATAGAATTTTAAAGAGCTATGTAATGCTCAAGAAACGATGAATATAAAAGATTACGATGCAGATATAACTGCTACAATCAATGACGAAGAGGTAGAAGCAAAGATCAAGAAGCTAAAAAACAGAAAATTACCTGGAACAGATGGTATACCCAATGAACTCTTAAAATATGGAGATCCTGAACTTGCAAGTAAACTGTCACAACTATTTAACAAAATCTTAAACGACACAGAAACACCAGAGGAATGGCATAAGAGCATCATAATTCCCATATTTAAAAAGGAACAAAAAACTTGCCCACAAAACTACACAGGAATAACCCTCTTAAATTCAACGATGAAACTTTTCACGAGTATTCTTAAGGACAAATTGGAAAGGCAAATCTCTAATGCTGAAGAACAACAAAGTTTTACAAGAGGGCGGTCCATAACAGATGCAGTATTCATAATAAAACAAATAAAAGAAAAACCTATAGATTTCGGCATACCAGCGTATATTTGCTTCATTGATCTAACGAAGGCGTTTGACAGGGCTCGCCTGGGAGATATTCTAAATATATTAATAGAAAATGAAACACCGACCAACATAATAAAGATAGTCCATAACCTAAATAATAACAATGTAACCAAAGTTAGAGCAGGAGACCAATTCACTGAAAATATTCCAACACCGGGAGGAATTAGACAAGACGACAGTTTAAGCCCCTTCTTGTTTAACCTATTCATGAGCAAAATTATAATCAAAGTAATTAATCTCGGATACATAATGGGCAACAAAAGAATTGGTATGGTGTGTTACGCAGATGATGCAGCAATTATTGCCCAATCAGAAGATGATCTTCAGAGACAGCTCTTATAAGCCGCCAACTGAATATGACCATTCCTACCAGCAAAACTAAATATATGACAATAGCAAAAGATCCGGTCAGATGTAAGTTAGTGGTTGAGAAAAACCCCATAGAACAGGTGATGCAATTCAGATATATGGGCATAGATATATCAAGACGATCATCTGGTCATGATAAACAATATCGCTGTTGTAGATAAATTTGTGTATCTGGGCTCATTAATAACCAACAAAGGAGGCTGTACTGAAGAAATAAAGCGGCGGTCAGAATTGCAAAAAGCGCTATGGCAAAATTAACAAAAATTTCGAAAAGCCATGAAATAACTACCGATACAAAAATGAGACTAGTAAGAAGTCTAGTTTTTCCAGTTTTTACTTAGTCATCGGAATGCTGGACCCTTACTGAGAAAGACAAAAAGAACATAGATGTATTTGAGATGTACTGCTGGAGATGAATGCTGAGAATACCATGGGTGGCCCGAAGAACAAATGAATCCATACTGGACCAGCTAAACATAAAGAAGAGACTAAGAACACAAATATCAGAACAAATAATAAACTATTTTGGACATGTGCTTCAAAGGAATGGTCTTGAAAAACTTACCATCCAGGGAAAAGTAGAAGGCAAAAGAAATAGAGGTAGATCTCCCACACGATACACGGACCATATTGTTGCTACCATTGGCGCTCCATTGTCAGAATGTGCTAAAATGGCAGAAGATAGAAAAACGTGGAGAAACATTGGAAAAATTAGCATAGCTTCATGATATCACGATACCTGCATCAGGTTAACGACTAAGAAGAAGATATCAAGCACACACGACCCCAGTAAAGGACCTAAGGAGTCAGATCAACAAAACATCCGAATTGTCAGGATGTCTGCGGTTTACAGATAGTAAAATTAGAATCTACAAGACTTGCATACGACCGATCATGACATATGGCATAGAAGTGTGCGAAGATACCAACAAAACAAAACAGATGCTAAGGGTTGCCGAAACGAAAACCTAAGAACAATAGTGGGCAAAACGAGAAGAGATAGGGTGAGAAATACAAACGTTAGAGAGCAGTGCAAAATTCAAGATATTGTAAGATGGGGAAGGTAGCGTAAGAGAATGTGGTACAATCATGTAAGACAAATGGATGAGAATAGACTCTCAAAAATTGCCCTAGGAAACAACCCGCCCGGTTCAAGACCTCCCAGAAGACAACTTAAAAAATTAAGAGATAATTGGCAATCTACCTCCCAGGAAATTAACCATTGGCAGCTTCAGAATTAAACAAATCGAAAGATCTCCAAGAAGTAGAAAAAGAAAAATCTTTAATTGGTAATCCTTCGTGAGCCACATCTAATGTTTAGACTTATCTATCTTATCTTTAAACTATCCAACGATTTTCCTTTCTTTTTTGTCTTTTGTAATGCTACTAATAATTCGATGTGTTCCTTTATTGTGTTTTCTATTTTCTGATATCTGTTGTTTAATGATCTAATATTCCATGTTGCTATTCTTAGTAACAGTACAAGTTTTTAAAATGTGCATCCACGAAGGAAAGAATTTCTCTGCATATTTCATTGCAAAATCGATATAACATTTTTGCAGACCTTTCTTTCAACCAAAAAAAAATTATTATATGCAAATTATTTGTTTTAGATGCAACCGTGATGAAAAGTATAGAGTGGTATTCTTCCTCAACGAAAGCCCTGTAGAATTCCAGGAATGCTCAGTCGGTCTCTGCAATTGGTCAACAGTACAACAGAAATATCAAGATCTAGTGAGAAACTGTGACATCAACAAATTTTGCAATGGAAACAGTAGCGCTGGAGTGACCTATGCCACCTTCAGCCTATTTGTATTAATGTCGATTTTAGCTCTAAGATTATAAACCTGTAAATGGTTAAACTACAAGTACTAACAGTAACAATGAAAAAAGTATGTGAATTAAAAAACAGGTAAAAAGATTACGAACATTGTATTATAAAGAGTAGATATGTACTGAGTACAGGTTTATATTTGTACTCTCAGATACATTAACTAGTTTACAGTAAGGGCCCCATAAATGTTTTATTCTGGCATAAATTTTTTATCGTATCATTAAAATCCTTTATGATACGTACGTAATAGACGTTATATACCTTGGAAGAAAACCGTCATATCTCAAAAAAAAAAAGTAGAAAATGTTAGTGAACGCATTTCAAATATTCTATATTTTTTGTGTGATAACGTGATAAATTTAGTTTATACCTATGGCCGCCAAATGGTAGAAGTGTCGTTATTATCAATCGAAAAGCTGGTTCGAAATTTTGCACAATATTTTCATATTTTGAGATACGCCATCCTTTCTCAAAAACACGATAAAATCATACAATACATTATGTGATGAATAATGCATTATTTTGAATTGTGTCAGTCTTGTAAAGAAGTTAAGGTTATGTTTAAAATCAGCTGTAGTATTATTTTGAGTTATGTCACTACATTAGAAAATTATTCAAATATTTGAATTTTTGAACCTAACTATCTACAAATTATTTCGACTATGACGTTCTTAAAAAAAATCCAGTTGGAATTCTTTTATACAATTTTTAAAATATATCGATGTTTTAAATGGCCATTTCAGAAAATTGTCACATTTTGACATATGACGGTCCTCTCCCCAGGTAGCGATATCTACTTGTGTAGTAGAAAATCCTCATTTTGGGCAGCTACATTTCGCTCGGTGTTAAAAATCAAACACAACGCGACACTGTCAGAAATATATCTATCACCTAACACAGTCTTCTCGAAAATATTCAAAAATATTAAACATGCGCGGTGTGAGTGGCGCCAAGTGGTGAAAACAAATTTGCCTTAGCAAAATACTTGCAAAGATGAGTTGGTTGAACTAGTTTCTCTCAATAAAATACTCATGATTTATAATACAAAATAGTACACACGATATTTTTATCTATTTTTATTACTAAAGATCTCTTAAATGGTACAGCATTTAAATATTATCATTTTCCTTGTTACTGTTATAGTAGTAATTTTACATCTTAAAAAAACAATGACTTACCAGAACAAATAATATTTAAGTAAATATTGTTTTACTTAGCAATAACAATAAATGTTTCATAGTGGGCAGCTGTTAGAAACCAGTCGTTAAAAAATGAACTCTTTTTGAGATTGGAAACAGACAAAAATCTCGAATTTCACTTTATATTTCTGAAATATTTTTTACGTATTATCATCTTTTTAGCGTACTCGACTTTTCTGTGGACGAAAACGTATTTCATATTCGGATTTGGCCCATATTTAGGATCTACGATCCATAATAATGCTAGATGTAAAATCTAACTATTATTTATATCGAACGTCTTTAATATTCATGCCACCAAGTTCACAAATGACAAACGAAAATTACACAAAACACAAAAGCATGTTGTAAGGTTTAGATAAAAGAAACCCATGCAAATTAATACCTCGAATAAAAATCGTAACTGTAAATCTGCTTTACCTACTACCATTAAATCGAAATACAAAAGTGTGATCCTTTATTGAAACTAAAACTGCAACACATACCTAAAAAACTGATGACGGAGTCGAATTTTAATCATTAAAAGTGATGTGACCGAAGATTATGAAAGACTTTACTTCCTGTTTTATAATTAATTTACCAAACACATTTTCTCCTAAATTATTACATATTATATTATACATACATATTAGATTTTATAAACCATCTTAAGTTAACATGCGGGGTCCGAGCGTTTCAGGAAATTTACTACATCTCGTAAGTATACAATTAATAATGATTGGTTTCTAACAGCTTTGTCCTTTACAGCTGTAACAATTGTGTCGTACCTACCAATCCGTTGTGTTTGTTGATTTTAAAAGAGATAGTTGTAAATATTTTTACTAGATATTAATTACTAGGCAAATTTCGAACTTATTTCTAATTCTGAAGCTGTTTCTCCACCTCTTTCTCGGCTTCTATATTTTATTAGAATTTTGCCTTGTTCTAATAACTATCTATCATTTTATTAAAGTAATTTTATACTTTTTTTGGTTTTTAAGTATACAAAAATTATTTTATTGAAACTAATTTTTAATAGTTGTTTATGACTCTTTAACTGAAGGTTTTTTTATTCATGTCTGTTAAATTAAGTGTAGTTTTTAACTTTAGTACAAAAGCATATATGTAAGACAAAAACTAAAACCAAATATGCCATCCATAAGTGTATCTATTTTTGTTGCATACTGATAGTTTTTATTTCGAATATATTTTTGTGTTTTTACACATGACTTAATAAATATTTTTAGTTAAGTAGTTTTATTATTTAAATTAGAAGTTAAATTAACCTTTACTATTTCTTTTGTATACGTTCCTCATCATTATTGTCATTTAACCCGCCTTGCTCACAATCGAACACATGCTTCTATAAGTTTATCCCCATTTCCTACATTTTGAGCTACGACTATCTTCTTAGTTCAGAAAAGGTTTGGCTTTCACGTGAAGAATAATTTCGCTGTAATTTTCGCTCATCAGATAGTGATAAGCTAAATAAAATCTAGAAACGGAAAAGCCGAAGACTTCCCATTACGGAATGGACAAAAATATCTAGGCTATCAGAGTGGAGCCATACTTCGTTAGGTTTGCAGGCCAGGCGATTCCGGCTGAGTGGTTACGTTCATCACGTAACCAAACCCCCGTCATCCAAAAACCGGCCTTCTGCTACTGGTCTGTTCCTCTCCGTGTTCCGATCCGGAAAGTAACAAACCAGCAGCGTATGGCTTAATGGCCTATGATTGGCCAGTTAATATCGAGCGAGTTCCAACAGCCCCCCCCCCACCCCTGCATTTACTAACTTTACCAAGCCAAAATCGAAGGCAAATATTATGTAAAAGAAGTAAAGATAGCTAAAATATAGAAAAATTGACATTCACAAACATAGAGAGATAAAAACAAGCATCTACACATATCACATAAATAAAACCTAACTAGACAAGCGTAGACCCATCGATAGGAAGAAGTCGGTACAGTCTGTCCCAAACCCTTTTTTCAGTGCGTCACTAATTTTGACGTCATCATCGAGCAAAAAGATAAAAGAGGGAATCTAATCGTTATGAAAAGGAGACCAAAAAAGTGGCCTCTGATGGCGGACATATCCGGAAATGCAAAGGCGCTAAATTTAAATTTTCCAACACTTATTAACAATAGCTATAAAATATTTTTCAGACGAGAAAGTTTTAATTAAATATTAACTATAATAGTCTAAAAAGTGACACAATTGGTAAAAGATTTCAATATAAATAAAATTTCATGTGACAGTTGGGACAAACAATAACATAACCTAACTAAATTTGACTTCTTAAACAAGGAAAGAGACTGTCTATCCTTGTCTAAAGTGGCCTCTCAAGATGGCACTTCCTGTCTATCAATATGTTTACCCCCACTACCTTTACATTCCCTCTTTTGTCTTATTGCTCGATGGACGTCATATAGGATTTTAAGAATGTCGAGAATTATTGCATGACATTTTAGTTAAATCTGACAGTTGCAGGATCGTAATCCGCTAAACGTGAAAAGGTTACTTTTTTTTAATGCATAGCAGTTTGTAATAATTTTATTCTATTCTGTTTTATTTTAACAATTCCATGGAAAGTGCTTAATTAGCTAAGATTTGTTTATGGATTTATTATTATTTATTACAAACACTAGGGAATTGGAAGGTTTGTTTATTTAAAATAACGCTTCCTCCTAGAATCTTTTAAGAGTTGACTGCAAGGTAAAAAAATTTACTGACAATTGCAAGGCATCAAAGTAAACATTCCTGTGATAAAATAATATCGATTTAAATCAGTCACATTTGGATAAGTAATTTTCTGATAAGTTTGTGTGGCAGCCAATAGTTTAATTTTGTGAAGAGTTGTCATTAAGTAGTGGAAATAGTTTCATTAGTAAAGCAGTTGATTTTTGAGTTATTCTACCAGATTTGGTGTGCAAATGAAAGAACGTTATAAAGTTTAGGTAAAAAAAAAACAATATAAATAGTTTAAATAGTGAAGCAGTTTATTTTGAGTTAATCTACCAGTTCCGATATTCAGATTAAATCGTGTTAATGGAGTTTAGTTAAAAAACAAGATACCGACTGTAAGTTTACCTTCTTTTTTATGAATAACAAAAATGAATATTATATTTCAAACAATCTATAATCCATTCAGAATCTGATTCTTGAAAATCAATGATTACACTAGATATGTGGCTGGTATCAATTATGTCCTGCATTTCAAGAAAATGTCGTGGTTCTAAAAAGAACCGTTTTAATACATATAAATATCCATAAAGCTATTAGTTTAAGATATTTCCTCAATATCATTCCGGAATTCACAATCTGATTCGCGAACGACAGAAAACTGAAATAAAGATGTCTCAGCCTCTTTTTCTAATTGAAACTAATTTAATAATTTTAATATTAGTCTTTTTCATTCTCGGTATATCTCGGAATATTTAAAATATTTTTATGACAATAAATACAAAATTTAATTTTCACTGTAGTTAAAATGTCTGAAAATACTAACCTGAAATGGCAATTATCATTTTATCAGTTGACATTGTGAAAGTTCTGTCACTGTCATTATCAAGATCATCTGTGTCAAATTATATTTATATGCATAATTGATTGGATATCTATTTAGCGTATTCTAAACTCCAACCAATTATACGTTCGTAAGTAGAATTCGCTTTAATATGCAAATACCCGTGAACGATACCTAATTTTCTAAGTTCTATGTATAATAGTCAGCGACTCACGTTTTTTTCTGTCACTTCTAGCTTAATGCGTTAGAGAGAATTCGAACAACTATGACGCACTGAAAGAAGGGTTTGGGACAGACTGTACTTACATTTGAAAGTAAAATTGCCATAAGTCACTTATGCTAGGACCTCATCAAATGACTATGAATATGGATACTACCCTAGATTGCCTTTGTAATAAAATTGCAGACGTCGAACCTTGATAGGTTAAAAATTCTCAGGACACGAGAATTTGACAAACACCATGTTCCGCGAGCTCGAACGATTAGAGGTGCCATGCAAATGCTTTTTCCAGGATAACGAGTTGCATGGTCTGATCGAGGCTTAGTGACAACGCCGTTTTATTGGCGGCGGCTGTACTTAGGGGTTCAGGACCTTCCCAGCTGACGGCAACGTCCACGAAAATTATCCGCTCATCCTGTTGCGCAACAAAGTTAGGTATCTTAAGAGTCCCTCGGCGCATCTTACTGTTGGCTCTGTCTCGCAAAAGAGCCCCAGGACGAAGAAGAATATCCTGGCTTGCTAACCTGAGAGCATGGTATAGAAAGACCTCAACACAGCTATTTCGTATAGCAACCAACAAAATCATCATAGCCAGAATGATCGCCAACGTTCGGAAAGGACAGGCACCCTAAGAAGTCTCGCAAATCCACGCTTTCTTTTCAACTGCTTGGCGAAGATACGTAACAAGCTGATCATATCTCTTTATTCGGTGTCAGTTTGCTCGGAGCACTTTTGAAGTACGTGACTAAGGCTCTCGTTACGTTCGCATTCCTTTCGGCACCTACGCTCATGTGGTGGATTTGAAGGGATGCTTCTAGTTGGAAGTAGATTTCCTCGCAGTTGTATTGCCTTAATAAAATCTCATCTCGACCAGTAGGGCGGTGGATTGCTTATTCAGGCAGAGCTTTCGGAGTGTGAAGAGCACTGACGAAGTCAGTTTGCGCTAGAGCCGTCCTCAAGTTTATGGTTCAACTCACGTGCGATCGATGCTGAACTGCCATACGATGTTTTAGTGCATTTTAGGACCTTCTCCCAGGGACGTGACATATATGGTAGACTGAGGGTTAAAGACGTAGTATTAGTTACTGAGCTGATTAACTTTGCCAGTCTGCTTCTCATGATGGCCGAGATGTGCATGGCCATGGCGCCCAGACTACTTTTTTTAGTGGGAGCGTGGATGTAGGCATCGGCAAACGTTCGATTGAGGGACAGAAACTTCCGAACGGCTATACGTACGGACCTGTCGATGCATTTTAGCGTTTTCAACGTGATGGTGGGACTCTGGAGCTTGTCAATATAATTATCTCGGTAGCAGGTATGTTTTAAGTACTAGTAGTTTTTGTGCTGGTTTGAGCCTCACTCGATGAATAGGATCGAGCTGTGTCCGCAGCTCGTTGAAGGCTACCTTGGTCTGTCCTAGTGCATTATACCTTCGGTCTAGGTATCCAACTAGCTCACTCGGTTGCAGCTGCCGAATCCTGTCGTTGCCGACAGAGAACAGCAAACGCGTCACGCAGTAAGAAAGCTTATTACCACGGTTAACATTAACCGTAATAACTGCCCTCTTACCAGCGTTAATCGTCATTCCTCTCTTCTCGCAGAATTTGGACGGCTTTTCGGAGCTGGCTGGTACCATCTTTGGCCGATGCGGAGAGCAGGATTAAATCATCAGTGTAACGCAACACTGAGATTTTCCTGCCATCTGCAATTGGGAGGCCAAGCTTGTCTCCCTCAAGCTTGCATATCAGCTCATCCACAAAGAGGTATAGCAACAAGGGGTCTCCCTGTTTGACGCCTCTACACATCTTGATGTTGGTTGTCGACCTGCTTCTGGCAGTAACACTCCTACGACAGTTCATGTACGAGTCATACCGCTTAAATGTTGCGTCTACGCCGAAGCGATTCATAGCCCGTTCAATTGGTCGTTGCGTAAAACGCACTCTTAAATTGCATTACATTAAAAATTGATTACCTAGACCACGTGATGAGAAGACCAATATATAAAACATTGAGACTCGAAATACAGGGAGAGATTCGAGGAAGACGAATATATTAGCCGATGGCAGAATTCTTGGTTAAAGTATCTACGTGATTGGTATCAATGCAGTTCGATTGATTTGTGTAGAGCAACAAGTTCCATAATTATAATAGCCATTATAATTGCCACTCTTCGTATGGAGGCGGCCCTCTGAGGAGAAGTGCTGAAATATGTAGAACCTAAAATTTTCCAGAAATAATACCTGTAGTAAGATTTATAGGGGGCGCCGAAATATGTATAAAAAATGATGTCTTACTGTTGTTGTCATGTTCTCATGAACGAACCAACCGAAGTTAGAACTAGACTATATTTTAGCTATATAAAACAACCTTAACTACATGGGAAAATCAAGCGTTAAACAAAATTAAAAGAAAATTTCTTCATTAAATTCCAGCCTCAAACATGGGAGACATCTACAAATTAGCGTAAAAACAAAGACAAATTCTTTATAGTTTGGAGGAAAACATAAAA